CCGGCGGAGCCGAGGTGAGAAATGCAACCGCTTGCAAAACTGGGGATGTAGGGTCCCATGTGAAATGCAGACGTGTCCTGCAGCCCCATCCCTCATCCTACAGCTCCGTCCTCATCCTACAGCCACATCGCGCCATCCTACAGCCCTATCCCTCATCCTACAGCCCCATCCCTCCATCTTATGGCCCCATCCCTCCGCCATCTGACCCTGTCCCTTGTCCTACGGCCCTATTCCTCAAGGGGGCAGGGATAGCAGAGATTGGGCTCCCCCAGTTGCCCACTGCCCCATAGGGAGCAGTCACCTTGTGGGGAAGGTGACGGGCTCCTTGTAGGGCAGAGGGTTGTAACAAATGCCATTGAGTTACTGGAAAGGTTGGCCCTGCGGATGCTACAGGGCAAATCTCTTAGCATCCCTATGGGAAAGCGTGAGATCTGGTTCACAATCTCTCCCCCACCAGCAGCAGAGAAGGCATTTTCGACCCGAGTGTCTGCTCCAGGCTTTGATCTTCCCAGATGCTGCTGCTGTGTTCAAATGGTTCCTGTTTGAGGAACCCTGACTTCGACGTAGTCAAAGCAAAACGCTAAGCACCCGTTACAAATGCCCTCAGCCCCTAGCGCCGATTTACTTCCAACCACACCACCCTCCTCGATGCTACAGCAAAAGAAAAACCCAATGCTTTTTACCCAAAAGCAAAGTTACAGGAGGCAGGGATGGCAAACCAGGATCTGCCCTCCATCCTCAGCCTGGAAACAACCCGGAGACAGGAAGCAGCAGCGGGCTGGATGCGCTCGATCTCCTGTGCCGCCCTCGATCTCCCTCTGCTTGGGGAAGGGGAAACGGGCAAACTGCTCCTCCATGCTAATTCTGGGACAGATTTCAAGAGGTTTAGGGGGCTGGCAGGGAAGACTCTTCAAAGGGCACTTTGCGGCGGGTGCTTTTCATGCCTCATTAAGTCGGGAATTCGCTGCAACCCCATCCAAGGCAATGCCTGGAGCAAGTTCACGGCCTCGGCTGCAGGGTCTGATCCTGCCCTTCAGGGTAATGAAATCATTCGCCAAACTTACTCTGAAAAGCCCAAATCTGGCATTTTGAACTCACACCGGGGAAAGTTTTTCAAACAGGGCCGTATCTTTGTGCACCCATCTTTCCCGGTGCTTTATACCACGGAGCTGCATTGGCACCTTTTAACCCAGGCCAAAATCCCTCTTTATTAGGGAAAAAGAAGAAGGTTTCTCTTTCTATTAGTATAATTTGATTTGAATACATTTCACTGGACTTCTTTTCCTGGTGCATTTCTTTACAGTGGGGAAAAATGTCATGCCCAATTGCACAGACTGCCTATCGGTGTCTGCATACTCAGCTACACCTGCATAGACCTGATCTTCATTATTAAAAAATGAGAATAATTAAAACCCTTATGATCCCATTGGTGCTCGGCAATTAGCACTGTCCAAAGGCAGTGGTGGTTCTCCAGGAAGCTAAATCACTGGAAGAAAATGCACTGAAGGAACCACTTGATTTAATATAAGGAAGGATTGTGTCTCCAGCTTGAGATTCCTCATAGTGCAAAGAATAAAAATACCTTTAGTCTTAAGGAAAGGCAAAGAAAGGAGTCGGCTGCACTGTGCTGGGCACGGCTCCGATGCTGAGCCAGGCTCGGATGTGTTATTAAACTGGGTCTGCAATGAGTGCAGTACACAGGAGTGTTTCCCCCCACACTACATCTTTGCATGCCTTTGGTTTTTCAGCCCATAAAGGCTTTTTGCCCTTCCTCATGGGAAAAAATACCCCTTTCTCCTGGCTCAGAAACCACCAGCCAGTCTTTACATGCCTCAAGACCCCCTCCTCGATACCTGCAGCCTGGGTAAAGCATCGTCCCGGTGTCAGAAAGGGACCCAGCTGGAAGCAGCACGGCATCGGATACATCCCGACTCGGCGAGAACAGGGAAAGGGGCAGGTCTGCACCTTAAAGTACTTGCTGGGGGAGCTGCCTTCCAAAAAGTCTATTTTAATCCTGAATTTAAAACTTGTCGGCTTTCAGGCAGTTTATTTTTAATATTTACCAAAACCAAAACAGTTTTTACTTAAAACCCAAGTGCTTTTTCCTCAGTCAAAGAGAGAGAATTACACGCAAGCTAATAAATCCCCCAGTTTCTGACACGGAGAACGGAGGCGATGCCGTGAATCGGGACCTGGCAATGGAAAAGGGTCCCGGCTCCTTTCTCCTTCATTAGCAACCACTAACATTTTCTGTCCTGGCTCAGCACATCCCATCTTTCCAATGCTATTTGAAAGCCCAGATAAAAAACACTTTTTGCCACCAAAATGCAGGCTGCGAGACCTGCAAGGCAAACTGCTGGTTTAAAATCCCCAAATCACTGCGCTCAGGCTCTGGCACTTTAAAAGCCGATGGGTATTTTTGCAACTGCAATATTCGTTTGCATTACTTTAAAGTTATTTTTATTACTAAGAGCTCTTTTGAGATCACTCCAGAAAGTCGGCATTATTTTTTCCCCAAGGAAGAGATGGCACAGTAGTCAAATACAAACACGCTATGTCCTTGTTAACATTCAATTACTATTTGATTATTTGATTCATCCTGACTATTTTTCCTATGCTTTCTACCTTCTTGTGGCGTTCGAAAATTGGTTGGCCAAAACTTTATCCTTAAGGATAATCTCTTCCCCATTTTAAGCAATTTCATAATGCCCAAAGGAAAGCAAAAGGCATTGGTGAGGCCAAGCCTCCACCGATGCCCAACTTTCCTTTCCTTAAGTCTTAAAATAATGCTAAAGATAAAGGAAATCTTGCCCAAAACGATGGGAAAATTGCCCTCCAAAATTCAGGTTAAGGAATGCAATCTCAGAATATATCTGCACACAAATTTGAGTCGTTTTCTTTGTTAATCCCAACCCCAAAGCCGACAGAAATACCTTCATGGAGAGAAAACGGGAGAGAAAAAAGGGCTTATGAAACAGCAGTGCGAAGTTGTGCCTGCATTTTTCTCCCTCTTTCTCTCTTTTCCTCTCTACGGAATATGAAAACAGTATTTTAAGCCATTTGGGCCAATTTATGGTTGTAGACACAGGGGTGCTTCGTGAAATTAAAGGCTCCAAGATTGGGATCGGCACAAGAGATCAGGATTGAGATATTCTGGGCGGCAAGAAGACACCGAAATACAGGGCTGGGCTGTCCAGATGTGCCTGTGAAGCCCTCAGGAACTGTACTAATTAATGTGGATGCATTTATCTTTCTCTTTCTCTATCATCTCTCCCCTCTCAGCACCAAATTTCCCCTTTCCCTTTTTCTACCCTAACTGGCCTTAAATAAAAGTAAGACGTAACACAGAGCAGGTCGAAGGGAAGATCTGGGGTTCATGGGCCACACTTCAATTTTACCATTTTCCCTACAGACTTCCCCCATTTTACACCTCAGACGAGCCCAGGAAGGGGCTGCTTGTGCACATCGGGGTCCTATACACCAGGATCATCTCGATCGCGGGCCCTAAATCCCCTCGGAGCTGTTTGTGGAGCCGGCAGGCCCTGGCGCAGGAGCTCGGCACATCATTTCTTGCCGTTCCAGGCCTATCCCGAATTATGCCTTTTTTTGTTTGTTTGTTTGTTTGTTTGTTTGTTTTTGCGTTTTTGGAAACGGAGATTTTTGAGGATATTTTGGAATGATGGTTTTGCAGACAACGTGCGTGCAGGGGGAGGGGAGCACCGTGGGCACCCCGTGTTTTGCAGCCAAATCCAACAGCCACATCCCAAATACGCTGAATTTCTCCCTCTTCACCCTACCCGTGAGTGCACAAATATCGGGGGGGGGGGGGGCGGGGTGAAACCCTCCCTCCCCTATCCCAACCCGGTCTGTGCTCACCTATGTTGGCATGCCGGGCGGCTGCGGGCGTCCCTCGGCTCTGCAGGTTGTGCAGCATGGAGCTGTCGAAGGGCGAGGAAGTCCAGGTCGTGGCCATTTCTGGGCTCATATAAGACGGGTAGGGGCTGGAATAGGAGCTGCCGAAACCCCTGCTGTACTGCTCCCTCCCGTTAGCAGAAAGGTTCAAGGAGGTGCCATAAGCCGCCGCGGCTTCCCGGGAAGAGGTGGCAGGGATAGGGGTGCTGGTGGAGAAGGAGAACCGAGGTGACACGGGAGGGTGAGAAGATCCCGGGTTGTAAGCGGCGCTTTCAGCTCCGGGTTGAGTCCAGATGGAGTGGCTGGAGACGGGGCTGCCTTGCTGGGAAGAGCCGCTGCTCTGGAGGTACGGCAGGCTGGGGATCATGGAGGTGACCCTCGTGGTGGGCACATAGACGGGGGACGCTGCGGCCGCGCTGTGCATGAAGCCACCTGCCCCCTCGTACGCCGGAGGGCCGGGGTTAGCTGCCATGGTTAAACTTTGGTACATCTCGTGAGGGGCCTCCCCAAACCCCGGCCGGGTCCCCGGCCACAATCCAGAGCGATGGAGACCGGGTGAAATCCCCTTGGCTCCACTTTCGCCTGCGGTGAGCCGAGCCGGCGCTGTCTCCCGTGGGTGCAGCCTTCCAGCCAAAACCAAAACACCACCAGCGATGCAATTTTCCTCCAACCCCCCCCCCCAGCACCCTTTCCCCCACACCTCCCACCTTCCCCACCTTCAGCAGGTCCGGCCGCCGCTCCGAGACCCCAGGCAAGAAGCCCAGGTCCCTCCGGAGGAGAGACTTAGCTCCTGTCTGGATTTAGCGTCTCCCACCGGCCTCCATCCATCACCTCCCGCCCCCCCCCCCCCCCCGATGGGGCTGGGCTGCTTAAAACCCAGGGTCAGTCTCCTCCCCCCCCCCCCCCTCCCGCCCCGTCCAGCAGCACCTTGGGGAGCCCGGGGGAGCCGCGGCCGGGGGATGCGGGAGTAGGCGGCGGCAGGGACCCCCCTCACCCCCGCCTCGGGGCGGAGGGATCGGGAGGTTAGAGCAGTTCTTGGGGGGGGGGGGTGTTGGAAAGGGGAGGTGGAAGGGGGGGGGTGCGCAGCCGGTAAGGTGAGAGACAGCGATGCTCTCTGCTAGGGCCTGGAGCAAAAACCTTTGTCCCGCAGGTACGATCGGTGCTTTAAGTTGTTAATGGCCCCCGAGGCCCGTGTTTGATGTGGGGCTGGCGGCGGGGGGGGCGACACGGAGGCTGCGGGAGAGGGGGGTAAATTAGGCAGACGGTGGGGAGGAAGAGGAGGAGGAAGGCTGGCTCGACCCTGTCACACCCCCCCCTTCCTGCCCCACTCGTGGCCGGCCATGCATGGAAGAGGGGTGCTTAAAAGAAGGGGGGTGCATTAACCCCTGCACCCCGATCCATGCTGCTCGTTTGCAGGTGATGGCGTGTGGGGAGCAGACCCCTAGGAGCAGCTGCAAAACTACTCCCTCCTGAGTGTTTTTACTCCCGTTTTTCCTGCGTGGGGAGCTGCGGGAAGCTGGAAGCACAGTGGGGTGACCCACGGGATGCTGTGGCTTGGGATGGGGAGTCATTTCCCAGAACCACAGGGCAGGGTGGGTGTGATGGATGCTTTTCCCCATGATGGTTTGATTTTGATAAGAGCTCCTTTGGGGGGGGGGGGGGGGCTGGGGTAGAGGGGCATGGCTTAGGCCGAGGGGTGCTGTCAGGGCCTTGCATGGGGCTTGCAGTGGCAAGACCCCAAAAAGCGTTGTGGAGGGGAGTCAGGGGGAAATCCCCTTCCCAAGGAGGGCCTGGGAACGGGGTGAAACCTTCTAAGATGCTGTTTTCCCTGCAGATCATGGAGGGATCCTAGAAACCCACATCACACCCAGAGAAGGGCTGGATGGGGGGCAATTATGGACAGAGAAACAACTCTTGGGACTGATTTCGATGTAACCAGCAGATTCCCCCGGCTGAACCCCTCTGCTGGGCTGAATTTAGCAGCACAAGAGATAATCGGCAGATAACGGCTGATACCCGGGAGGACAGCGGGAGACGGGCAGGCGGCCGAGGAGAGGGGGAGAAGCCGGAGGCAGCGTTGGGAAGTGGTAAGGATGGAAATGGGCCGGGAAAAAAGAGGGTTTAAGGGAGCTCTGCATCCCCCCTCCCGCTAAAACCCAGGGGATAGAGCAGTGGCTGGGTCGTGTGCCTGTAACCAGCCTTGGATGGAGCATTTCCACTGGGCTCTCCAAAGAGGAGCAGGACCCACAGGAGGGGAAAAAGGAGTGAATTTCCCTCCTGCCTTAAAAATAGTAACGATGATAATAATAATTAAAAAAATCAACTAAAAAAAGAGGGGAAAAAAAAAAAGGGCAAAATTAAGTCTGGTTTGGAGCCCGAGGAGACAATAGGAGGAAGCTTTCAGGGGAGGCCCGTAGGAAGGGGCTCGCCGGGATCCAGCGAGGGAGAGGAGCAAGGGGACAGAGAAGAGCTACCCACCTTTGGTGCTGGGGGCACAAGCGGTGGAGGCGGCCAGGCCGTGGGGCAGGACACCCCCTCTCTGCGGGGAAGGCAGAGGACTAGGAGATGCCTGCCTCCTGCCTGTTCCTGCTTTGGGATGGGGGGCTGTGGGGGACAGTGGGGCCCTGCTTTCCCCCCCCCCCCCTTTGGTTCCCCAGTGAGGCCAGACTCCCCAGTCCCGCTCGCTGACTGGTTTGCCCACATCACGTGGAAATGGGTGGCGATGGGAGGAAAGTGCGGGGGTAACCGGGGGGTGTCTGGTATCTGTTGCACCATCAGCCGGGCGCCAGGTTTCATTGCTGTGCAAGGGAAGGGGAAAAGGGATATAATAATAAAATCAAACCACCACCACGGGCACGGCCCCACGGCCGGCCCCACGCTGCAGGCAAAGTCCAGCCGGGCTGCCCTGCTCCGCACCTCCCCTGCACCCAGAAGGACAGCCCACACAAGTAAAAAGCGGTATGTTCTGGGGGGCACGGACCCCCCGCATCTCCCCTGTCCCTTTGGAGGTAACCTCCTTTCGTGGGGATACTGCACAAGGTGGGGATTTCTGCAGGATCTTGCCTCAAACCCCTTTATGGTCCAAGCAGAGTGAAGAGGTGACAGCCTCTGTCCCCTCCACCCCAACTTGCTTGAGAGTGCTCCCCTAAACTGGACACCCATCTTTTGCCCCCCGCTGCCTCCGTGTGCGCTGAGGTCTAAAGGTTAATGGTGCAGCACAGAGCCAATTCAGGGAATAATGCTCACACCCTTAATTCTTCCTACGCTCTGGTTCCGGGATTTCCCTTGGAAATTTGGGGTCCTACCTGAGGTGGGGGCTGGCAGCAGCTTTTGGGACTGGGAAAGAAAAAAGTCCTTGAGTAATTAAAGATATCCCTATGAAAGAGGTGAAGGGAGCAGGGTTTGTGGGGGGACAAGGAGGGGAAGTGATTCACCTACGGGGGGAATGGACAGTGCCGGGAGTGCTCGGGGGATCCCCCCATCCTCTGCCGCGGAGCCGCCAGCAGCCCCCCCATTACTCTGGGGTACCCTCTGTGGGGGGCACAGAGAGTCTGTGACCGGGAAACCCCCAAAAGGGTGCCCCAGCCCGGCACAGAGCTTAAAAATGTGTCTGCACATAAATCAGGGCAGATACAGCAATATGGTCAGGAGGATGGCTAGAGGTACCTATAGAAATAAACTTATGGGTACATAAATAGGGCATAGAGAAATAAGGGCCACGATGTGCCTTGTTCGATATTTATATTTTAAGCACACGGGATAAATCTTCATGTAATAATGAGTATGTAGCTTTATACTTACCAAAACAAACACTGCCTATAGATGGGACTTAATGCATGTCTTACATATAAATATATATATACTCCTATACCTAAATATACAGTGTAATTTATACCACGCTGTGTGCATGTGTATATATAAAAATATGCTTCTGAACACAGAGCTGTCAGTGGGCAGAGAAAGAAGGGAGAATTAAACATATCGATGTTTTTCCTATCTTTCTTTCTCCAAAGCAGCTGTGTATCCAGATGTTCAGGGTTCGGGACATGCATCTCCTTATCCACGCCTTGCAGAATTCTTGGTGATTTCTTCTGCTAAATCTTCGTTGAATTCTTACGAAATATCAGCGCTTTCCTTTAAAAAAACGAAGTAAAAATGCAATTAAACCCTATTAAAACCGCTGGAGGAGCTCTACCAGGAGCCGATGGTTTCAAGGACCTGCCTTGGGTTTGTCTCTCCTAGGAATGAACGCGCACACACAGGGGAAAATACCCCGTGGCCAGATCCAGACTCTTTCAATGGGGAAGTACCGGCCCTCGGTGCCGAGCATCGCGTCGCGGCCGGTGCGCACGGCCAGAGGGCTGCTCCGTGAGGAGCCGAGCCCCAGCCTTCAGCGCCAGCCGGGAGGGGGAGGATGGATTTCGGACACTTTCTATGCCCCCCCAAAACCCCCAGATGCAAAGAATGGGACAGGGACAGAGCCCAGCGACAAGGGTGTGTGTATGTGTGTGTGTGTGTGTGTGTGTGTGTAAATCTCAGCTGTGCGCTCCGAGGAGCCTTGTTCCCTGCGCTCGCCCGCAAAGTGAAGCGGTCAACGAAATCTGGCTGAAAATAACCGTGCGGAACAAACCTCGGCCTTTCCGCTCTCCCTTCCAGTGCTCTCTTCCCCCCCCCCCAGGGAGGAAATAGATCGATACGGTGCCAGTTTGGGGGGTGGTTTTGTTAGGGTTTTTCCCCCTCATTGAAGTTAATTCCGTGGCGGTTTTAGAGTTAAAGCTGCGGGTGTTGGTAGATGCACCCGAGAGAGGCAGTGAACAAGAGAAGGAAAAAGAAAAGGAAAAAGAAAAATATACGTTAGGAATTTGGGTGAGGAGAGGGGGGGAGTTTATTTAAAATTTTCTCTTCAGGACTGTGCTGAAAATCGAATTTTTAAAATTTCACTCAAAAAAACCCCAACCAAACAAACGAAAAAAAAACCCCAAGAAAAACAACCAAAAACCAAACCCCCGAAACCCCACCAAAAAAACAAAACAAAAAAAAAAAAAACAAAAAAAAAAAAACAACCCCACAACAAACCAAACCCCCCAAAAGTTAAAGAATGGAGAAAAGAAAAACATCATCAAGCAAGCAGGGGTTTAGGAGAGCAAAACAGAGCCAAAGGGGTCGGTGCAGCCCTCCCGGGGCTTTGTGAGCGGGTTTGGGGGGTGCTGTTATCACCGTTTTATTTATCCCATGTGGGGAGCGGGTCTGGGGATGAGGGGGGTCTGGGCTTTACGGGCTGCGGGGAGCGAGCAGCCGGTCTCCAGAGTGCGGGTACCCTCGGCTGGGTAGCACGGATCTATGGCTGCCTGTCTATAGATGTGTGTGTCTCTTGGTGCGTGTATCTATAGGTGCATAGGGGATATGGAGATGCAGCCGGCGGGGTTTGTCCTGCGCTGTCTTGTATTAGAACAGCCGGTGGAATTCGGGAGGTGGCGGAGGGATGTCCCAAGCCGAGGGGGACATGGCTTGGCACTCGCGGCTTTTGGGGGTGTCAGACTGGAGGGGCGGGGAGATGGTTTGGGGGGGTTCAGGCCCCTGCGAGACCAGAGACATCTCGGGGCAGCCCTGGAGCGGAGCGCACCCACCTCCCCTACCCGCCTTTGGGGTCTGGGGATGGAGGAGGGCGGAAGGGATGCTCATACCCCCACCCCCCCAATCTGGCCGACACAGGGGAAGGGGTGACCCCCGAGCATCAAACCCCGGTGCAGAGCTGCTGGGGGTGAATCAGTCCTCCCGCCCGCGGGACCGATCCTGGCTCCTCCCAAAGCCCCTGCTTAGACTCGGAGTCCTCACCTTGCACCCCCTGGCACCCCTGTCCACGGACACGTGGCCCAAGGAAAGAAACCCCACATGGGAGTGAGGGCATGGGAGGGGGGTCAGCTCCAAACCAAGGGAGTATGTGGGCAGGAAGGTGTCAGAGCAGGAGGGTTGCTCTGCTTTGGCTGCCACCCCCACCCCGACTTATCAAAGTCCCTGTCACACCTTCAGAGACACTTTCCTAAACATCTGTCACATCTGCTTACAGGACAACAGTGGTCCCAAAATGCACACCCCACCCCGTGCGTTTACAACCTCCTCAAGGCCAGGAGGGTGTCCAAACAGCATCATCGTTCAGCGATGCTCCAGGGGCATTTCTAAATCCATTTTGGCCACTCCTTCTGCCCCCCAATCTTATGTTACTGCTTTTTCCTTGTATTTTTTTCCCTACTGGCAGTGTAGATAACTTCCCCAAGGACAAAACCGTGGGATGCGGAGGTGTGTGGAGCAGTGCTCAGTGCTCTGATGCAGCAGCAGGGGAGAGGGGCTAAGTGGTGAGCGTCAGTGCTGGAGTGATTTAGGGAGAGTCAGGATCCAAAACCCACCTGGAACTGGGATCTTTAGGGAAACAGGGGCCACAGAATGTGAACACATGCCCTGGCTGTGCCTTTGCATCTGCATGGAAGATCCCTGCTACAGGGGACAGAGGTGTCCCAGGGTACAATGAAAATACAGCATGGATCAATGTGCTACACTCCTGTTAAGCTTCACTACCAAAATCCATCACCCAAATCAGGGTGCGTTGCTGCCGAGCTTCCCATTGCCCACTCACACTGTTGACCACATGTGTGGCTTGATTGCCATCACATCAAAGGACCGTGGTGATGTAACAGCACTAAAAACACACATCTGGAGCACACCTGCTGTGAAACCACCTTCCTGGCTGCTGGGTGCCCACGGGTGGCTCAAGCCTAGGCACAGCCCCTCATTCTGGGGGCAGTGGCAGTGGTGATGGAAAGCCCCTTCCCATGTCAAAGAGGCTGGAAGAGCCTTCTGCACCAGGCAGAAAGCTGAGCTGCCTTGGAATGCATGGGCTGGAGCGCGGGCAGTGCAGAACCTCAGTCAGTGTTGCCACCTATCTATCCACCTGCCCATCTATCCATCTATTCATTTATCGATCTATCTAGCCATATATCCAATATCTATGTGACTTTCTAGTCATTCCTCTGTCTATTTGATTGTTTGTGCCTATTTACTTCACAACATACCTATTTATCAATACATACCTATCCATGGATCTCTTCTTCACTCACTTATGGGTCAATCTGCCTACAGCTGTTTGCTGTATGTCCTTATCTGTCACTGTACCTTTGTGTGTGGCTGCACTGGCCACATCCCCATGGATGTCTATTATGGGTCTGCCCCTACCCATGTGGGTGTCAGTGCCACCTCAGCTGTGGGACTGTCTGTGCCCTTCTGCCGTTGGGGCTTCCTGCACCCCTCCACATCCATGGCTGCCTTGACCCTCTGGTGTCTCCCAGACCCACAGGGCAGTTTGTACCCCTGGACAGGGTATGCTGCCGCTACCCCAGACCCATGGGGCTTCCTGCACTCTCAGTCTGTGGGAATGACTGAAAACCCTGGACTCATGGGGTTGCCTCATGGGAATACCTACACCCCAGCTCCATGAGGCTGCCTGCACACAAGGCTGTCTGCACCCTGACTTACAGGGCTGCCTTCACCCTGGTCCCCCTGGCACTGCCTCCACTTGGACCCACAGCACTGCCTGCATCTCAGACCCATGGCGATCCCTGTATCTCCAAACCACCGGTCTCCCTACAGCCCGAAGTGATGTGGCTGCCTGCAGTCCCAGCTTAGGGGGCTGCCTGCTCGCAGCCCCGGCTCCGGGCCGTGCCGTGCCGAGCCGTGCCCAGCCGTGCCGTGCCGTCAGCGGTGCCGTCGGGGCGGCGAGGCCGCGGCTGTCAGCCCCTATTGATGAGGTGTGGGCTGACGGCGGGGAGCGGCGGCCGCCGGCTCCGCTCCAGACTCCCCGGCGCTGGGGTCAGTGCCCCGGCCAGCCCCGTCGCCGCCGGGAAGGGAAGGGCTGGACCCGGAGGGATGCCCCTGCTCCCCCTCCGAGCATCGGGCACCGGGTGATGGGAGCGGTGAGCTTGGATATGATGGGAAAGGGCCAATCCTGACACAAATCCTACACCCCTGGGTGGCAGATGTGGGATCAGGATGGAGGCTTCACCGCTGATTTCCTTCTGTGCTGGAATAAAAAACCTATTTCTCTCTCTGCAGTGGCATATCAGGGTTTGAATTCATGTATTCTGGACGGGAGAAACCTCAAAGCCAAGTAGTAGGTTTGTTTTTTTATCATGATGCTCAGTGCTCCAAGCCCTGGTTTTCCAAGCGCCAAATCCATGTGAAATGATCTCACACGAGCAAAGGACGTGAAGGGTTTCACGTGCAGGCAAGTTTCACGTGCTGGCAGGGCTGAGCAGTAACGCAGGAGGTTGGTTTGGCCTTGGACTAGATTGACAAAACCACAAAATATTGAAGGGTTTAAAAACGGAAAACTTGGGAAAAAGGCATTAAAAATGTCCATTCATTTTCAACAAGGGAAAAAACCCTGTGGCGCAGGGCGAGTGTGAGACCTGAGGCTGACAGTGTCCTCAGCAAGGGACACTGCAGGCAGCCAGGAACTTCCTGGGAATCTTCTTCTCTTCACTTGGACCTGTCACAGATGAGTTCCCTGAGCTTGGGACAGTGGCAGGCTCTCACACAGCCTCCCCCAAACCCCAGCCCTCAAACCCCCGGCCTCAGCTTTGCAAGGGAAGGGAGGACCCAATTCCTGCAGCTAAACCCTGGGATATCCTGAGAGGTGTTGGGGAGCTGCACATAGGAAGGGCTCAGCATCTTCAGAGTGGGGATGTTTCAGGGGCTGGATAAGCAGAGCCAGTGCTATTAAGTAGTTGTTAATCTCCAGCTGCTCCTTTGGATTATATCTGATTTCCACATGATCTCCCCAACAGTTTCTGGAGTTGTGGCAACATTTTGGGTGTTTTTCATTTTCCTAATTAACATCCACCCAACTTTCCATAAATATCCCTCCCAAGGCCCCTCAGAGCACCCTCTGCCCTGCTGTTCTCCAGCCAAGCAAACGCTGCAGCCTTCACTCACAGCAGCAGGAATTCAGACTATGCCGCTGAGATTCCTACGGCTGCACGAAAAAAGCTCCTGGTTTCCCTTTGCCATCAGAAGGAGTCTGCTCACCCTCCTGCTTCTCTTTGGGGTTTGTGCTGCAATGAGAAATAGCACTGGTGTTAATAAAGAGAAGAGAAATAGCACTGGTGTTAATATTGCTGATGCGTTGGCATTGCTGGAGAGCAGCAAAGCTGGTGATCCCTTAAATCTGCAGAGTCCCAGTCTGGATTTGTCTTTCAGACTTGGCTTGCAGCTTCACACCGGGCTAGGAGTGCTGCCCAGGATGGAAGATCTTGGATGAAGGTGGCATTTTGTCCTCTTTTTGGAAAGCAAGGAAATACACAACACTGTAATCGTAACAGTAGCATGAAAGTTCATTTTATCATGAAGTGATATTGCTACCATTAGGCAAAACCCCAGCGCAGCACACTGTGGAAAGAATACTCAGGTATGCTGGCAAATTGATATCTAATTAGCCCT